CTAAATTCAATTATAAATTAGCTTTTTCTTTTATTTTATCAAATGTCTTTTAAGATGAATTTACACTTTGCCCAGAACCTAGTTTTAAGTAACCTGGACCAAACAGTTGGCTCATGTGTCTTAGGAAACCAGACCAGAAGAGAACACGAAGGAGCTACTGTGTGGGCTACCTGGACTCACCAGTGTGATTCTGATCAATGGGTGCTCAGCAGTCACAGCAAGGCAAGCTCAGCACCACGCTGGTCCGACCCTGCCTGGTGCTGGGCACCTGTCTGCCAGTGGCTCTCCACATGCAGCCTGGCACCGCTGGAACCGCCTCCAGGAACGCCTCCTTGCTTGCTGTACACCACTGGGCAAGCTTCACGGTGTCTGTGAGCCTCTGTTTTGTTAAACTGTAGCATGGACGTTCCCTCCCAGCACTCTTGTGGGGACCAATGAGCCAGCAGACGCTAAGTGTCCCACAGAGCAAGCAGGTATTTTTAACCTAACATTTACCACTTACAAACTGCGATGCGGCCGGAATCAGAACCGCTCTCAGGGACCTTGCCCACCATCAGCAGTTTGGATTGATCCCAGAGGCTCCCACCCAAGGACACGAAGCCTTTGCAGGCCTCAGCAGTCGCACCCTCCTGACTCTGCCCCAAAGCCTCCATTTGCATCCTCAGGAGGTCCCACTGCAGCTCCTTCTGCATTATGTTTTCATGGAGAGAAAACTTCTACTTGAAATGATCAGAAATGGAAACCCACTTAAGAACATGGCACCTCTGGAGTCCTGGGTCCCTCAGTCACAAAACGAGGGGCGGGGCCGGCCGTCTCTGGGCTCTCACCCAGCCCCTGAGTTCCACAGTTCTGAAATGTTAGGTGGCATTCGATGTAGGATGCCGAGCACCTCGCGAAGGCACCTGTGGCAGAGGTGCCCGAGGAGACCTGGCGCGGGAGGACTCCAGGACGCAGGCGGGGATGCGGTGGCCGGAAGCCCCCCAGAGCACTGAGCAGGAGGAAGCAGCTGTGAGCTGGATGCGGAGTTTCAGCTCGGAAGGAGTCTAGTTGGGGTGAAGACGGGGGCGGGACATCTTCTGAGCAGTGGTGCCAGGAAATTACACTTGGGTGGAACCTGACATTCCTTCAAGCTGACTGCTATTAAATATTTATCTTGTGTTTCAAGTGCCCCAAGTACCATCATGAGCAAAACAGGGCTGCAGCGAACTCACTGAAGATCTTTCCAACTAAAAGAATAAAAGTAATGATGCAAAACGGGAACCCAGCCCTGCCAGCACAAGGGAGCTGGCAGGGAAAACGATGGGCTCTTCGGAGTTGGATTATGAAATTGAGAAGATTATTTCCAACAGAAGAGACAGCCTGCAGCATGTCCAAGTCAAGGGATCAAGCATATATGAGCCAGAAATTTCAATGCAGCATGCCGGAGGCTGCCCCCAGCTCCCCACTCCTCCCCTCAGCCACACGTTCATTCACACGTAGAACCTGTCCCAGTGCTAGAACGTCAGAGAAGGTCCCTTAGGGCACATCTAACTCTGCCAGAGAATGATTGGCAACTGTTAGATGAAGGGGGTGCTACACAGAGTTAGAGGGGTGGAGGAAGGAGAAAGACCCCCATGAAAACAATACAAGAAGCCCAGTAGTGTTTAGTTAGCACCTACTTATTGAACAGATCCATGTGATCACACCCTGCCGGATTCAGTGAAGGGACAGAGAGCAAGTTTAGGGAACGTTCTTGTCTTAAGAAACTTAGTATGTGTTAAGGGAAACAATAGAAAAACATTAGCGGTCTAGATGAGATGTTATATAATCGAGGCTAAACCGTATAGCACAACTAAGTCCCATGGGGCGTTAAGAGGGCCCATCATGGGCAGGGCTTGGACTGGTGTCCAAGCAGGTTTCTAGGAAACCTAAGCCCACTCCCATGGGCAAGAACTGAGGGGCAGGGAGGCAGTGGCCATACCTCGGGGAGACACCGAGGTGGGGCTGGGCTTCTCATGGAAACGATAATAAAAAAGAAATTCCCTGCCATATTTTTCAGAATGTGTCACTGAAAAAATATCTGTATGATTTTTCTACCAAAAGGAAAAATGATTGCATTTCATTATCACCCTTATTTTTTTGCCCATTTTGGTGTTTTTCTTCCTTTTTATCAAATCCAGCTGTAAGGTGGCCAATTCGATTTGCTTGTGTTGGATATTTTGTACAACAGAGGGTGACAAAGGCAAGTGCTTGGAAGAAAAATATCGGCCAACCTTACTTTTTTTGCAACTTCCTTTATAAAAGTATTTTATTTTAATTCTTTCTACAGAGAATTTAGTACTGATATTATTAGCACGATTGCCTTTGTCATTTTAGTTTTCCGAAAGTTACTGTATGTTAATAGAAAGTAAGTTCGGAGTATTAAATACTTTTCATAAACTCAATATTTAATTCATAAATAAATGCAAATCATTATAAAACCTCATACAATTGTAGGCTATTAAGAAGCCCAGGAATGGGCAATTGGAATGTGGCCATGTTTCTCCAAGACCACTGTGGAATATCTGTAATAGGCAGAGTTTTTTGACCGAATTTGGAGGGTAAAGTACAAAGCACACTTAAGCCTTCTGAGACTGGCTGTGCACTAATATGTTTGATGCTGAGAGTTGAAAAGTCCATACAGAATGGTCTAAACAGTAAAAAGAACCTACAAAGAGAATAAATCCTTCTTGAATTTTTTGTGGACTACATCCGGACCAAGGATCATGGCTGGCCACTGGGGCAGACTCATTGGTGGATCCTATCCATTCAAGTCTAGTAAGGCCCGATGTCTTCAAGGTTAGCCTTCCTGGCTACATTGGCATAATACAGGCTTCTTGTGAGGAGGGGGTGGGCACCAGTTCATTTGTAGCCTTGAAATTTGCTCACTGAGACACCACAGAGTCAAAATGAACTTCCTAGCATGTGGCATATGAGTGCCAGGGTCTTGGGAGCCCTGGGAATGAGAAAGGATGGGGAGCTGTTGACAGCTTGTAGGGGCCCCAGGCTAGCCCAGGAGGGACCAAGAGGTATGACAGGTAGATTCCAGTGAGGCCAAAAGAGGGGACATCACATAAGAGCAAAGCTTTCCCACAAAGGCAGCACAATTGTTCTTGGAATCCTTTTATCTACCTCAAGATCTATGTTTCTTTTGTAACAACCAATGTAAACAAAATAGCCTGAAACCCTAAAAATACATGATGCCCCAATGCCCAAGGCTGGGTTCCTTGTTATAGAAAATGAAAAATATGGCTAGTTAGGCATGATGATGTAAACTGATATAATTAGAACTAGGCTGGGATTTCCAGTGCAACCATGAAGGGTGGTTCCTGTGCTGAGAAATGTCTGCAGAGGCCTTGTGGAGGCAAGGAAAGGAGAGGGTGGAGCCCGAGTGCTTTTCCATCCAAAGGATGATTCTGGGAACAAGGAAAACCAGGCTTCTTTATAAAGCAGGCATTTTAGAACTTTGCCAAGGATTCCCATGAGTCTTTCAGAGTGGTTCGATATTCGCCAAGGTCCCTTCTCTCTACAACCTGCAATGTCTTCAGGGAATCTCAAGAGACTGGAGATGCTACATATGCATTCGAGTAAATCAGAAACCACAGTTCCAGTTTTGTAAGAGTTTTCAATGAGGTTTGAAACATCTAAACTATCATGTAGTAAACAAAATCCACAGAAGTTTGCAAAGGTGCCAGGCAGCAAAGACAGAGTGCCCACTGCTGAAAGCAGAAATGAGCTTTGGAATCTTGACTGGTGTTGGCCAAAAGATTTCGACATATCAGACCTGCATGTGATGGATGGCCCAGGGCCGCAGGACTACTGTTTTTCAGAGCCTCTGAAGGGAAGATGAGGATTTTAAGAGGGCATTATGTTGTTGCTGAAGTAACAGTATGTCCTTTGAAATGCAAAATGACACTGCAGTGAAGACTCCAATGCACAGTGAAAACCCATGCAGAATGAGAAAACTGCTTTCATAGAAGCCATCGGAGCCTCCCACTGGGTATAGTACAACCCTGAGAGGTGACAGGTAGACCACAGCTTTGAGTCTGTTTCCTGGCAACATCATCTAAATGGGCTTGTCAAAGTCTAACTGGCAGAAGAAATCAAGATTTTGGAAATATGAAAACATCTATGGTATTTTCTATAATACAACCCCAGATGGCACATAAAATGGCATCCATTGACAAACGTTGTAAAGATTATTCTTATTTATTTTGTATAAGAGATTATGGTCATGTTAAAATTTTGATTAAAAAAAATCTCTGAACCTTCTCCCGAGGATGCCCAGGAACTCTGCTCAGGAAACCTGGCTCAGGTGGCCTCTCGGTTTCAACGCATCTCCACGGAACAAATCGAAACACGGCTTATGTCGGAGACCTCTATCCCACTGTTGGCTTTCTCAGGATGCTCTCAAAGAGCCATGGCCAACGAGAAACGCTTGCTTTAACTCAAGAATAAACTTAGATTTAATTCTCTTTTCTAGAACTAGCATTTAAACCATAGAGTCTGCAATGATTGGCTTAAATTAAAACACTAAAAAAAGATATGTTAACATTTTCTTTCTTCAAATACTCCAAAATTTTATATCTTGAAAGTGGATGTGAAAGATGTATCAGGTTTAAATTTTAATTCCCCTGTATACTGAAAGCCTCATAGGGTGCTCACACTTACTGCTGCACATACTCTGACAACTTAGAGGAGATGATAAAAAGTACCGACAGGAATAAATAAGCAAAAACACAATTTTATGGTGTGATATTCAACATTGCAAACCATCTCCAAATTAGTGCCTTTGCTGTGCTTGAGCTGCCTTGGTTTATATTCTGGGGCTGTTGGCCTGAAGGGTACGTGTTTCTTTACTGGAATCTGTAGTTCTAGAAATGTGAATCACCAAGCTCCCTGGTTTAGAAAGTTTTTAGCAAGAAATCAGTTTTCATGAAATGAGCACACCTTCAGAGATGGTCCATATTTGCAGTACCTACCAAAAGCTGTCCAGCAAAGCAGACGAAGAGGATGAAGGCAAGCAAGAGAAACGCAGCTCCAAAGGAAATCCCGAAGGTGGATGTTCTACCAGAAAACAAAAAGGAGCAGGTTAGTGTGGAGGTAGTTTCTGGAAAGCTACGAGTAACACTTTTGGATTAATTAGGACTTAATTAAATGAACACCGCAATCCTCAATAATTTTTTGAGAAGTAAAAATGGAGCTAAAACAAACCAAACACGTGCCCATGGAAAAGTGTCTATAGTTGTGACGGATCAACTTGTTATGACTCATTAAAACTGCTCTGGAAGCATCGGTTCTTTATGAAAGAAAAACAACCTTTTTAAATGGCCCGTCTATGTCCCTGGAATGTTCTTGCCACACTTGGCCACAATCCCTCATCTTGGCAGCCTCACCCCGAGGGCCTGGAAGACCTGAAGCCCCAGCCCTGCTCCTGTCAACCCAGGAAACACTGAGTCCTCCCCAGCCCCAATCCCACCCGACCAGATTCAACCAATTCAGTTCAACACAGTTGTGGCTAAATGTTCGGTGAGGCTTTTAGAGGCTCGAGCAAGCCAACAAGCAAAAAAGCATCCCATGACCACGTGAAAAACACGCCCACGAAGTTATAAATTCTGCCACTGACAGATTCCAAGTTTATTTATAAGAATCATATGCATTTCTGAGAGGTCCTTTAAATTATTAAATAACTCAAAGCCTTTTAAAAACTTCCTTTAATCCAAGGATAGAAAGTTGCAAGAGTATAAATAGGGCTGAAGCACAATGAATCATCAAAAATGAAGTTCAAGTGGAACATCCAGGGAGAGGTCGGATGGTGTCTGAGACTGAAACGAAAGCTTATGCCAAGGAGGTTGGCCGGAGCTAGTGAGGAAACAGAAGACTTGGCACTGAGAAGAGTGACCCTGATGTGATGATGTGCAGAACCAAAGAACCAGACGCGAGTAAGCCACAAGCTGGAATCCCCCTGCAAGAGCACGCTGGCACCCCGGCAGGACTGGAAGCACAGCAAGTGGTCCATGCACTGAGTAATCCCTGTGCTAAGGCGGGAAGGCACCGCTCCCCTCACTGTCTCAGACACCTAGAGATGATTACGGGGGACGCACATCCAGCAAGATCGACGAAAACTTGAGTTAACCAACACTTGCGCCTGACCCAGTGACGTTCACATTTTATGGTAGCAATGAGACTCTGCTGGAGGGTGTATATGCACCAAGTACATCCGGATTGTTGACTCGTCTCGTGGCCAGGCCCATGCTAGGTTGCTGTGATACAATGAGGAGCAAGAAGCCAGCCCTGCAGGGGTGAGGGGTGTGCCGGCCCACACCTCAGAGACATGGGGTCTCTCGTCCTTATCCCTGTGACTAAAGGGGACCACAGTGATTCGCCCGCTGGGCTTAGGTTTGCCATGTTCTCCTCTGGTTTTTACAAGAGAGCTAGGACAGGTTTTCTTTGACGCTATGTTCTTCCTAGTTCCTTCTTGGCGTCAAGGTGTTGCCAGCCTCATACGGCTGAATTTGGAATCATTTCGTCTTTTTCTTAGGCCTGGAACTGTTTAAATACTGAATTACTGATCTCTTCTTGAAGGTTTGGTAAAACTCAAATGTATTAAATAAAACCATCTGATGATGGGCACAGTGATGATGATGATAGTAGTGGTGGTGATGAAGATGACCATGCCAACATGGAGTATTTTTGTGTGCCAAGTGCTATTGTGATATATGTATCATATATAATATACATATGCACATATACACTTCGCTTTATTCTCACAATAATCCTATATAGTAGTTACTATTACTACCTCATTTACCAAAGAGAAACTGAAGCCCAGAGAAGTTTAAGAAACTTGCCTGAATTGTATCTCTATTAAGTGGTGCTGTAAGGATTTATGTCTACCCACTTGTATTCCCGATTACGTTCTGTTTTAGGAGTAGACATGTCACATTTCTGCCATATGTATTGGTTCTATTTTTTGAGTCAATTTTGACAGTTTTCTCAGAGAATTATCCATTTCATTTAGATTTTTAATTGTAAAATATTATGCATAATATTTTCTTATAATTTAAAAAGTCTCCATATTTGAAGTAATTTCTTCTTGTGCTTAACGTTGTTTTTCTTATTTTTTCTCTAGATCAGACTTTTGAAGCTCTGCATGTTTTGTTGATCTTTTCAAAGAATGAGTTCTTGGTTTATTGTTAAGGTCTATTATTTCTGTTCTTTCTCTATATTATTAGTTTCTGATTCAACTTTTAAAACTTCCTTTCTTCTTTATTTAAACTTTTATTGTCCTTTTTCTTGATTGTCATTTATTGCCAATCTTTTATATTTTCTAATAAATGCATTCAGGATGTAAATATTCCAGTAATTACTGCTTTGGCCCAATCCCACAGCCTTTGATTTATAGCTGCTCATTATTGCTCTCTTCTAAAAAGCCTATAATTTCAATTCCTATTTCTTTTTGACACAAGAGCAATTCAGAAGTCTGATTTCTAAATTCTCCAAGGATATTATTGTTGGTGGGTCCTTGTTATTTCTAATTTCATTAGATTTGATCAGAAATTGTAGCCTCAATTATTTCTGCTTTGACAATTTATTTTTCTTCCGGCGTATGATAAACATATTCTACTTCTACTATGTCTTACGGATTTTTAAAAAAGAATATGTATTTTCTTTTTGCTGGTAACAAAGCATGTTCTCTAAATATATCTATTTATCGAGCCTGACAAGTTAGTCAAATCCTTAACAGGCTGACTTACTTGATCTGTCAGTGTGAGAATGTATTAACATTTCCAGCTAGGATTGTCAGTTTGTCAATATATATGAACGTTTTAATAATTTCTGTCTTATTTATTTCAAAGAGATGGTAGAGTGCATAAAGATTTATGATTGTTAAATGTTCTTGGTGATTGCATCATAAGAAAATCTTACTTTTTTTAATGCTGAATGCCTTTCACTTGAATTCTGTATTATCAGAAATGTATATTATTGCAGCTTCCTTTATTCTGTAGGCTGTTTCCTAGAATAGATATTCTCCATCCTTTATTTCTAACCTTTCTATGTCTTCTTATGTTAGCTACATCTCCCATACATAGTACAGATGGGGCCTTTGGTTTGTAGCACCAACCTTTTAGCATCTTTCCACGAACAGGGCATTTTTATCCATTGACAATTATAAAATTTGTCAATATTTGACCAGTACATTCCATCTTACTTTCTTAAAATGTTTGGTAGAATTTATACAGAAATCGTCTGGGTATGAAGTTTCCTTTGTGGGAAGAATTTTAAAAACAAACTCAATACATTTAACTCATGTAAGCTCATTTAAATTTCCTATATTGTTTCAGGTTTGGTAAGTTGTCTTTTCAAGGAATTCTTCCATTTTACCTAAATCGTACATCTTTTGGCTTCAGGTAATTTATAGCACTCCTTACTTATCCTGTTAGTGTCTGTAGGATCCGTGACAAGTCCCCTTTTCCCCGTACATTGTTAGTTTGGGCACTTTGCGATTCCCTCTTTTACTTTCTTGATCAGTCTTGCTAGTGGTTTAGGAATTTTTAAACCTTCAAAGAGCCAAATTTTGGCTTTATTGATTTTCTTTACCAGTTGTTTTCCATTTCATTGACTTCTTCTTTTACCTGTGAGTACTTATTCCTTTCTATAATGCTTGCTTGATTCTAATTTGCTCATCTTTTTCTGGATTCCTAAGTTAGGGATTTAGAAAATTAATTCTAACTCTTTCCCCTTTTCTGTATTTACAGTATTTCAAAGGTACAAATTCCCTTCTAAATTGCTGCTTTAATTACATCCCACACATTTTGATACATTATATTTTGATATTCAAACATTTTAAAATTTCTCATTTGATTCATGGGTTAGTAGTCAAAAGTATATAGTTTCACATTGAAATATTTTGGGATAGTTTCAGATATTCTATTGTTAATGATTTCTAATTTGATTTTGGTGTAGCTAGACATCAGATATAAGCTACTTGTCTGTTCAAATTTATTTCAATCTTTTCATATTTGTTGAAATGCTTTTCTGGCCTAGAATAAGTATATCTTGGTCCATGTTCCATGTGCAGTTTAAGAAAACACATATTTTGCAGTTGGGTTTGGTGTTCTATGAAATATCAATTAATTCTAGGAAGTTGATGATCTTGTTCAGATCTTCTATATCCTTATTTCTATAGTAAGGGATAGAAAAGGGATATTAAATACATAATTATGATTATGGATTTGTCTACTTCTCTCTTTGGTTTTGTCAAACACATATAAGATTATTTCATGGCTTAGTATAAGTTTTTTTCTTACCTGCATTTTATAGCTCTTTTATTAGATAGCACATTTTATGATTTTATGCTTCCTGATGAATCGACACTTTCAGTATTATTCAATATCTTTCTTTATCTCTGTTAATACTTCTTGTCTTCATACTTACTTTGTCTGATATTAATATATGTACAGGAGCTTTCTTGTGCTTATTGTTTACATCATATATATTTTCCATCCCTTTACTTTCAACCTAACTAACTTTTGGATTTAAAGTGCATCTCTTGTAGATAGTATGTGGCTTAGTCATACTTTTGTTTGGAATGTTAATTTAGTCCTTGCACATTTGATAATATGTTTGAATTTGATCTCACCCTCTTACTGTCTATTGCTTATTTGTTTTACTGCTTTTGTTTCTATGGTTTATTACATTTGTGAGTATTATTTTAAATCTACCATCTTACTATTTGTTTTCTGTCCATCTCATTTCTTTTTTGTTTCTGTTCCTCCTTTATTGCCATTTTTCATTAGTTGAATATTTTTAAATATTTTTTTTTATTTTTTCTATTGGCTTTTTAGCTTTACCTCTTTTAGTTTTTAGTGATTGCCCAAAAATTAAAATATACATTCTTTACTTATCAGAAGCTGCTTAACATTAATACTGTATCACTTCAAAAAATGCATATGATCTTTACAACAATGTAATTGCATTCTCCTGCTCAACATAATTCTTAGTATATGTCATTATTTTAGCATTAAACCATCTATTGTCTTTTAGAGAAATTAATAAAAGACAAG